ATATAAAGTTGATAATGTTACTTATATTATTATAAAAGTAATAAGACATCATTACGAGCAATGTCCCATTCTAGCATTTATAGACATGCACAACAATTATTTACTTTTGTTTATATTACAAACAGGATCCGAAAAACATTGATGATAACATGAAATTGCAGATTACATCATAAACCCTAAACCACAATATCAAGGTTTAGATCTTTCAATTGTAGGCTCAGACCACGCCCATTTTACCATCACAGAGGCACCGAGACTCAAACACAAGCCCTCACAACCCAACACATCAAGCTCACTTCACTGGAACCAAAACAAAGACTGCCTACCTTCGGTCGATTACTCACACAAAGGAGAATCACACAAGAAAACGATTATCACAAAGATAATCAACCAGAAATCTCACAAAGAGAAGAAGGAAGGGTCACAAAGACAGAGAACACGAAGGTTCCAGAAGGCAGAGAGAGACAGAAAACAGAAATGACGATCCAAGAGCCAAACAGGGGCTAAGGATGATATTTATAGGTAATATCATCAACCGTTGATCAGCGGGTCAATCCAACGGTCCAAGAGCGACTAAGATGTGTGGGCTGGGTATTGGGCTCGGTTAAGTGGGCCTTCTAGGTATATAATTAATGGACCAAGTATTAAATCCATATTTGGGCCTTTTCATCATTGCCTAACAGTTGGACTGGATCAAATGGCATCACGGCCCAACAGTTTATCAAATACTCAAATGTTAATTTTGAAAAAAAAGAATTATTTGATTATTCCAACGATTAATTTTTTATTTAACACAATTATAATGATTTTTTTTAAATATAATAATATCGAATCAAACAATAGTTTTGCATGATATCGATTGATAAAGATGATCACCTTCCCTTTATTTTGTAATGAATTTTGCTTCTTGTAGAAGGTGAATCACCTTGCACTGCAATTTTTGGACAGTGCCCAATGATAAGATGTCATATGTGGCATCCTGTCAAGCTTTTCTGTACATACAACAAAATTATTTTATAATCCTTTTGATTTAATTTCACCCCAGCTGCCCCTCGTTTCTACCACCACACATACATGTGTATGCACATAAAATTCGTGGGTATGTGAGCATGATATTTTAAATGTGATGTCCCTTGTTTATATAGTGTGACGATTTGCAATTTCATATTCCAAGACGTTATAGTGATTAGTGGTGAAAATTGTTCGATTTGAACAATTTTTGGACTATTTTCAAATTGAACTATTTCAAACGTTTTGCGAAAAATCAAAATCAAATCAAACTCTCATATTCCAAAATAAATCAACCAAACCAAATTATTTTTTGAGATTTGATTTCAAACCACAACTTTAAAGACGTGAAAACAACATATTTCAAAAAAAACAAAAAAATAACTGTGTATGTTTTGGAATTTCACTATAACACTTGAATTGAATCTTCTAAACATAAATGGTACAATATTAATATATTTGTCTCAATACAAGCTTAAACCAATAAACTAATACAATGTTTAACCATAAAGTTTAAGATTATAATTTCATTATTTAGAAAAAGAAAAGTATTATTATAAACAAATTATTACCCTTAAGAGCCAATTAAAGTCGACTAGAAAGTAAATATATTGAAGTATAATAAATAATATATCTTGACTAAACCAGGTATTTTTTTGTTTATTTTTTTTAAATTTGGATGAATTGTTCATTTTGATTTCAATCAATTTTTAACTATCGAAACACAAACCAAACAATTTTCAACTTTATTTTTCAATTTTGGAACGATTGAAATGTAAACCGCATAAGCTAAGTACACTGTTTGATTTTGGTACGATCTGATCAGTCGATGGGTTTTTTTGTAATTTCAAAATTGGAATTGGAGGCCAATAAGACAACTATTTAGTGAAAACACTTCTCAACCCTTGATCATTTGATTCCAACTAACGTGTCCCCTTCATTATCACCATACCTACACGTATATTATGTGCATATACATATACAAATAACGTATTTATCGGATACAATGAAACAGATCGTGATAACCATTCCCGTCCTCCATCCTATTGAACATTTCTGTCACCGTGCCCATACCTGGTTAAGGAGAGGACAAGACAGGGAATGTCCCAAAGCCCCATTTACTATGTCACTTATTTTTTATTTTTTTCATATATTTAGTTGGTGAAAATTATTAATTATTTTCTCCCCCAATTTGTAGAACAACTCATGCTCTATCTTGAAATGGTGATGATTATTTTCTTTTTGTGTGATGAAAAATTTACATTTAAAATATATTGAAACGAGGTAATGAGGGGGGAACATGTTCCTTGTACCCTCCCCACCTACACCCCGAGGCAACGATTTCATCGTCCCCAAAGCTATCTGATTTAAAGAATTTTTTTATCATCCCTGCGTCTTGATAGCGTGTGCAAGCATTTGTGCGCTTTCTCATTGAGGTTTAAAAATATGTCAATTGCTCCAACAAAAACTAATTGAAGCTCACACAAATGAGAGAAAAAGAAATCCAATAATAGGAAGACAAAGTTCAGCAAACGAGTAAAAATGAGTATCTCCATGGCCACATGTAAAATATAACATGTGTATTACATTTTCGACGTGTTCGATGTTTCTAGCTTTTCTACGGCATTTCATTGTTTCGGTCGATCAAGAATCATCTTATATTTTTCAGTTAAACTTTAATTTTAATCACATTTAACAATTATTATCACTTTTCTAATTCAGGTCATGTATGAAACAATCGAGAACTTTGAATTATTAGCCACATACGACATTGTACTTTTTGTTAATTCTTGAATGTTCTGAGTGAAGGTGGTCTCTTCTTTTGTGGTTAGTGGTGGAAGTTAAGATTTCATTCTAGGAGACTCCATCATAAGTATAACTAAATCATATTTTTTTAGAAGTGCATTATTAATTAGCAAATAATATCTCTAATGATTCAAAATTTTCATTAAGAGTATATATATTTATTTGCTTATCTTATTTTTAAATAAGAATTAATCTCTTAAGTATCGGTGCTTAACTAATCATTCGAGTGACGTAGCACACCACCGTCTATTATAGTGTGCCACGTCACCTGATGATTAGCATAAGCTTGTTGTGTGCCGCGTCACCTGAGTGTTTAGCATAAGTTAAGTACAGTGAAAAATTATGAATAAAAATGCAATTAAAAAAAATGTTAAAAACATAAATGTGACAATGAATAAAAATTAAGATTCTTTAATACAATTAATTAATTAAATTGTGGGGCATTTATTAAAAAAATATGTGTCAATCACTTGAATCCCCAATTCAAGCCTTTTTCAATTTTGGATATAAAATTGAACCAACCCAAACTGAATATGCTATTGTAATAGTTGCTTTGGACTTGGGCGAAATTCAAACCGGACCATTTAAATTTCTTTAAAATTAATTATTTTATGGGAAAAATTCATGAATCAGGCTTTAAGTATGGCCAATTCAAATTCCAGGCCTAAAGTTCTAACATGCAAAAATCAGGTTTGTGTTAATTAATTAAAAATATTTTATTAATGAAGCATATTACGGTCACAGTTATAAAATTTATGGTCACAGATATGTACTTTAAGATCACAATGTCACATATTGTAAAAATAACTGGTCACAGATTCTTTCATCGGCCACAAATCAAAATTATTATAGGTCACAGTTTTTTAGTCGGTCACATATTTTCAAATTAATTGGTCACAAATTATTTTTAAATCCCAAGTTGTTGAATTTTTAGGTCACAGTTTATTTGTCAGTCATAGATTTTGGAATTAGTTGGTCACGGATCATTTTTTTAGTCACAATTTATCAAGTTTTTAGGTCACAAATAACCAAATAATTGGTCACATACCACTACCACCCTCACCCTGACACCACACCACCATGACGACCACAACCATCACCACCGCACCACCACCGCCATCAACACTGTCTGCACCACCAACAAAAATCAACGTTGATCCACCATTGCTGCTAGCACACCTACCTATACAACCAACAAATACCATCTAAAACCACACCACCACCAAAACAACCCCCAAACCACTGCCAAATTCAACCACCACCACAGTCGTCACCACAAAACCTCCACCACACAAACACATCACCACCACTACACAAAACACTGTCCAAACCCCCTCCAAACCGCCAGATTCACCACCACAGTCGTCACCAACCTCCACCACACAAACACATCACCACCACTACACAAAACACTGTCCAAACCCCCTCCAAACCGCCAGATTCACCACCACAGTCGCCACCACAAAACCCGCCATCGCCACCGCCACCACCACACAAAACACCGTCCAAACCCACAAAATCGTCAGCAACCCGAACTGTTTCTACTTCTCCGCGTTGATACAGTGCTTCACCTGTGAAGAGTCGTCGGAGTGGGACTACTTCAAGGCGGTGCAGAGCTTCTTTCGCGCTGACTGGTATGGCAAAAGTGAGGCGGCGCGACGGATCTGCATCGCCATGTCATCTCCTCTTCATTACAGAACCATCGGCGACAAAAACCATCATCTCCGATCAAGAAGATTACAGATACCAGCAGGCAACCGCACCAACTGCCATCTCCGATCTCTTCATCATAGCGCATCGCTAGTACTATTTACGTGGTGGAGATCCGTTGATTCAATGGCCGGTGTTACGACAGCGGAGGCAGCGTGACAGGGGGGAAGAGATGAAAGGGAGAGGGAGACGGATAGTGAGTGTGAGAGTGGGAGTGGAGAATGAATAAATTAGGAATTGTAATTGAATTTGGGTTTGGAGTTATTATTCAAACCTGATTTTAGAACAAAAATACTTTTATCTTAATTTTAGAATTCCAATTTTTAAACACTTGGAAATCTGTAATTTCCACTTATTTTATAGACGTTCGACAATTTATTTTGTTACAATATTTGGACCTTATTTGTAGAGATGGGTACTTGGCTTGGTTACAACCAAACCAAATATTTCGATTTCTTTAATTTCTCGATTTGTTCTAAATTCACAAATGACAATTCAATTTTAAGAATACATCAGTATAATCAAGTCACAAGCTAGAAGATATGACATAAAGAAGACGGTAATTGTTCATTTCACATAATTTACAAACCAACCAATCGAGTCAATTACAAACTACATAATGCTCCACATTGGAAGTTTAGCAGCAGCCTTTGCTGTTCAAATCATGCACCTACAAGGGAAAAAGATAAATAAAATAAAGTTGATAGATCAAATCATGTAATGATCAAGTCAAGACCGTATAGCAAAATAAAAGAAATTGCGTACTTAAAACAAAGGGTCATATATAATGTATCTAGAACATGTTTAGCTAAGCTTAAAGTTATTTTCATTGCCGAACATGTTTTAAGGTTATTTTAAAGTTACTTCTTTGTTTTGGATCGTTTGTACAAAAAATTACTTTTTTTAGACATTATGACGAACATGTTATATGCATTCCGAGAAGTCAACTTTTCATCCTTTAAGTATGGTGGCCATGATATTCATGCTTGACATAACAATACCATTATTTACTCAAAATCACATCCTCAAGAATGTTTATTCCTTTTACCTTATGTTTGGCTCGTGTATAAACTGTTTCTAAACTTTCAAGTCATTTTTTTTCACATTTCGAGGAATCCACAAGTACTATCAACATATCACACTCACTCCATTTATAAGCTCATTTTTGATAATCATTCTTTCAAAACTCTTTTTTTCTCATGCTCATTTTCAATCACATTTTCATAATAAAATATTCTTCATGGAAACCCAAAATTCTTACTTTTCAACCACACATTCTCCAAAAAAATTATTATTCAAAAACTCATTCTTTCCAAAAAAAAAAAAAAAAAAAAGGCTGTCAAATGGGGCATAAACTGTTCATAAACACTTCTAAAACATACTCTTAATTTGCAAGGATGACTTACCTCAAAAGGAAATGTCATACTGTAATTTTGGATCTACAGTTTTCACTGTAACATTGGCCTCCTGAAAAACATGAAAATCGGAAGCCTTGTACTAGTCATACGATTAATCTGAAAGATGCAACGGCCTGGAAAAATAAAGAAACTTCATGTCAGAAAATGAAAATGACTACCTGTACAATCACAAATGGAAACTCAGAAACTTGTTTATGGTAATGAATTTTTGATATGCTACTTCACTGAAAGATTTGCAGTATGGCAGAGGTTTAATTCGAACATCAACAAACAAGAACTGTTAATATGCCAAAGGATATTGTAGGACCTGTAATTGTTCTAAAATTATATAAAACGGGTCCACGTATGTGCACAAGAGTTCTATTTTGGTTCGGCAGTTGAGTTTATTGCCATCAAAGTAGTCACAACCTGAAAAATCATAACTTTTTCTCCTTTCTACCTTACTCAACATCATGAATACTTGATTGCCTAGTCAGTTAGTCACTATGATAAAATGCATTGCAGAAATATAAAGAGGTGTCATCAGTGAATAATTTTTTTTCAAAGATAACTTATACGGATTTGGACTCACTTCATACATTAACAGTAGATAGCACGCAATATTGTATTAAAAGAGCAAAGTAAGATAAATTATAGCTCGTTGTATTGTCCAATTCTATCTAATAGTGTGCCAAGGTTTCAGGTTAGATGCTTTAAGATGGAATTCTGAATGTTTTTGGTACTGAGTAAATGATCTACATTCAATTTTATTAATTTATACTACATTGTTATTCCTTGTTTGTGCCATGTTTCAAATCGTTTCAACTGCGCCAGCATGCAATTAGTTCTTGATTTTTGTTGCAACACGTTCCATTCACCGAATATGAAGATTAGAATGTAACATATTACAAAGGAAAAGTACCAATAATGTTGTTACAACTGTCTGTGATAGCTTCCAGCACACTGATAGACCTCCCATCTATTCTAGAAAAGTCAAGAAGGATGGACAAGCAGCTGGAAGGAGGGAGTAACTTAAATTGGTTACAAGGGCAAGTGGGGAGAAGGGGAATAAATCTGTTGGGGGAAGTCCATAAATAGGAGGAGAAAGAATTGAAGAGGTTGGCAATATTCGAGAGAATAGTGGAGTAATGTCTCATTTACAGCCTTCTACAGGCTTTGTTATCATTCTATTTTCTGTAATTGTTCTTCTTTCAATCAAAGAGTTGTTTATTCATAACTCGAACTAGTTCTTTCCAGTTGGTATATTAACAAATTGGTATTAGAGCGGTTCTTCATGATGGCACAGAAAAAGATAGACAGCAGGATGGACACAATAGAAAAGGAAATGGAAGAGTTGAAGGCAGAGCTGCATCGCCTTCCTGGATTGGAAAAACCGGTGGATTAGTTAACTCAAAACATGGCCAAAATGTTACAATCCATGGAGGAAATGAGGACGGTGGCAGCCCTATCTAGTACTAAAATAGGGTTGGACAGAAGTGGGGAAGGAGAAGGACCTGACAGTGTGGTGGTTGAGGGCCTATCACCGCAGACCAAATCACCGGAAATTCAACGTACTTTGGATTGGGGAAAATGGCCGGAGGGCTCAGGTGAGGCTAGTTATGGTAAAATCCCAGTGAACCCCGAAAACGACAGAGATGGAGGAAATTGGAGGCAAGTGCGCAAGCTTGAAATGCCCATATTTTCTGGGGAAAATCCGGACGGATGGTTGTTTCGCACAGGGAGATACTTCGATGTTAATGGCTTGTCGGATTAGGAGAAGTTGGGAGCAATCGCTGTGAGTCTGGATGGTGACGCCTTGTCATGGCTTCAATGGACGGAGGCCATAGCCCCAATCCAAATATGGCAACAGTTCCGGCAACAACTATTGCTGCAATTCAGGCCAACCCAAGAGGGAAGCCTCTGTGAAAAGTTTCTGGCTATCAAACAGAGCGATTCAGTGGCTGACTTCCAATGAGAATTCGAACTGCTTGTGTCGCCATTGAGAGGAATCTCATATGAGGTGCTGGAAAGTACCTTCGTGAATAGGTTAAATCCTGAGATAAGGGTTGAGGTTTGTTTATTGGGCCCAATTATGGAGGTAGCCTAGAAAATTGAAGATAAAAACTTGACACTAAAAAAATCCCAGAAGCCGACATCCCATAATTCAATTAAACCCAATTCATCACCAATTCGTTCAGACACAAGACGGCTCAACCTGTTTCCTATGAAGACGATCACCGTAGAAGGGAAAACATCCAGCAATCAGCGAGAATATTCGATCAGACGCTTGATAGACACAGAGTGGCAAATGAGGCGAGATAAGGGCTAGTGCTTTAGGTGTGAAGAGAAGTACATGGTGGGCCACCAGTGTCGGAATTGCGAGCTGAAGGAGTTATTGGTACAAGAAGGTGACCTTACAGATGAGGAAGAGAGTGACCTGCCAGTGAAGGAACCGTCGATAGAGATGGCGGAAAGGGTGGAGCTCTCATTAAATTCAGTACTAGGCTTGAGGACTCTAGGAACTATGAAAATTAAAGGTGAAGTCGCACAACAGAAGGTAATTGTTCTAATTGATTGTGGGGCTACCCACAATTTTATTTCATTAGATTTAGTCTAGAAGTTAAGTCTGCCCACTACGGATACTACGAACTATGGGAGTATCACGGGCTCTGGTGAACCTGTAAAAGGAAAGGAAATTATAGGGGTGTTGTGGTGGAGATTCACTGACAATAGTAGAAGACTTCCTTCTGTTAAAGTTGGGCTGCACGGATATGGTTTTAGGGATGCAATGGTTAGGTAGCTTGGGCAATATGGAAGTCAACTGGAGACTCCCCACTATGAAGTTTCGAATGGGAGAATCGGTAGTAAGCTTAAAAGGAGATTCCGGGCTTAACAAAGTGGGAGTCTCATTGAAAACCATGATGAAGGCTTCACAACATGAAGGCCAATGGATAGGGATGGGGAACGAACCTGAGCAACTGGGTGGAAATGGAAAAGGGTTGCATGTATTTGAAGTTTCGAGGGAATCGGCCGCGTCTAGCACTCGACATTTTTCAGATGTTCACCTTGAGGACGAGGTGAGTTTGGAAACCAAGGGTAATGATAGACCTCCCATCTATTCTAGAAAAGTCAAGAAGGACGGAGAAGCAGCTGGAAGAGGGAGTAACTGAAATTGGTTACAAGGGCAAGGGGGGAGAGGGGGAATAAATCTGTTGGGGGAAGTCTACAAATAGGAGGAGAAAGAATTGAAGAGTTAGGCAATATTTGAGAGAGTAGTGGAGTAGTGCCTCATTTACAGCCTTCTACAGGCTTTGTTATCACTCTATTTTCTGTAATCGTTCTTCTTTTAATCAAAGAGTTGTTTATTCATAACTTGAACTTGTTCTTTCCTGTTGGTATCTTAACACCCACATCCACTTATGATTAAAGATATAGTATAAAGAGAACATATGGTTTAGTTTACCTTCTCAATTTTGGCACCAAATTTTTCTGCCTCTTCATCAACAAACTGCAGAGCATAGAAAAATTTCCAGACGGGAATTTAATTTGTCCACCATCACAAAGACTATTAATATACGGTGCTAATATTGTATATCTATATTATGGGGGTAGAACATTATAAATTTTTATTTCTTAAATCATTGAATAGGCAAGACAAACCTGTCCTGTTAGAGTATACAACCTATTGTAAAAACCATTGTTCGCCATCCCGAGCACCGAAAACAAATGTCTACAACTCTCGCCAGGATTTTGCAGCGTGTACTCAATGTAGTACAGCCCTAACCATCAAAAAAAATATCCATATGAAGCTTGTAATAACTACTAGCAATGGTTCTAAAAAGCATAAAGCGTAACTAGGTAAGAAGTCCAAATTTCAAGCTTTATGACCCCATGTGGGCCTAGACAAAACCTAGGCGTGAAAAAACATTTTCTTATTTTTAATATTATTTAAATTATTCTAAAACTATTAAATAAACAAAGTAATGATAATAAATATCTAAAATTATAAATATTATGAGAGGCTTCACATTGGAGTTAAGGATTGATTGTTTTTGCTCTTGCTTCAATTTCTCATGTTAAGGAGAGGCTTCACATTTGAATTATGGTAGAGAGAGTTCTATAACAAGAGGTTCAAACTTTCGTTTTTTTTCTTTAGAATAGTTAGGACTTAAAAGTCTTAAGACTTAAGGTCTATGTTTCAAACTTTAAAAAAAAAAAATGTAAAAGAAAAATGAAAGAGTAAACGAAAAGGCAAGCATTAGACGGTCAACAAAGGAGTTGTAATGATGCGGCCAGTGCTCAAGCCTTTAACTTAAGTCTCTCATAAAATAGAGGTCAAAGATTCTAATACTTAAATATGCCAAAAATAATAATAATAATAAAAAAAATAAAATCTATGATGCGTAAGATAGGCACAATCTCTCTCAAAGCGAATAGTACGTATGCCTTAATAACTTGGGCACTAGGCCTGGTTCGTTAAAGGAGTTGACTGCTTTTTGCGCAGCTAGAACACTGGTCCATGGATTGCAATAAACAATAGAATGTGTAGCATCGTGCTTTGCTCCAACTTCAATATGAAAACCCAAGCTTTTACAACATATAACAATATATCATTTATCGACCATGCCATCTACCAAGGCTTGGCAACCATTTTCCATTAGAAAAAAAAATATATATTGTTATACCGATTCTCCTAGTGATGCAACATTAAAAGTGTAATTGAGGCGAAAAAGGAATTAAATATGTTAATTTAATTATAGTTCGTGTTAGATTAAAATTATTTTCTTAGTTTCCTACTTTCATTAGGTTTTCATTATTTTCCTACATAATCTATGGTTGTTTAAACCCCTGTAAATAGAGGTGTTGACGCTTTGCTTTAATCACCACGTTTATTAAATACAATTACAACTTTCTCTCCCCAATTTCTCATCCTTCTTTCTCAAGTTCTTTTAATTCTTGATAATGGTTATTCATTTACAGGCTTCCTACATCAATTTAAGTGATACTATTTGCTGCTTAGGGAGTTCCAAGCATAACTTGTGTGAACGACGTGTTAAGTGGGTCGAATTCCTTCAAGAGTCATAATTATCCTCCACCATCAAGCCGGAGACGAGAACAAACTCAAAGATGGTCTTAGTTGTCTCACTATGGTGCTCCATCCCATGAATAACAGCGTAGTCAGTTTGAGCTGTTAAAGGATCACTATACTAGTCCTGACTTCGATATTTCTCCAGACCCTGCAGACAGTCCCTCCCATAACTATGTTGGATTTTAGCTAAAAGAAGGATATCTTTTAAGGGAACCAAGCTGTGTATTCCCAGCAACTCACTTCATGACTTTCTTGTATGGGAATTACATGTTGAGGAAAACTGGTCATTTTGGTTGATAAAACTATTGCCTTGATTGAGGATCAATCTTATTGGCCTTCCCTCAAGAAGAACGTCACTCATCTTGTCTCTCAATGTTACACTTGTCAATTAGGAAAGGCACAAGATTAGAAAAGTGGCATCTACACTTCTCTCCGCGTTCCTTCCATGACGTGACCTTACTATAGATTTTGTTCTAGGTATGACTGAGACTGCTGAGGTCATAATTCCATTTTGGCTGTCGTGGATAGGTTCTAAAAAATGGTCCATTTTATTCCATGTTCCAAGTCTATTGACACATCACATGTTGCTAAGTTTTTTAAAGAGATGTTTGTTACATGAGCTTTCGATCACTATTGCATCCGATTTTAATGTTAATTCTATTAGTTACTTTTGAAAGATACTTAGAAAATTGTTTGGGAATACACTTAAATTTTCATTCGCTTTCCATCCCCATACCGACAATCAAACTGAGGTGGTTAATCATAGTAAGGTAACTTAATTTGTTGCTTAGTTTGCGATAGACTTGAAAATTGAGATCTTGTATTGCCCACTGCAAAGTTCGTGTGCAATAATTCTATCAATAGATTAACTGAACCTAGCCCATTTGAGGTGGTCCAGGTTTTCTCACCAAGCCAATCACTCAATCTTTCCTCAGCCTCATTTTTGTCTAGTTGCTTTTGTTCAAGCTTTGGCTCACGATTTTCGTGAATTGCATAATGAAATTGAAAGTGAAATAGTTTTATGTAACGACCACTACAAACTTGCAATTGATTCCACTGTAGGTATGAAAAAATTAATGTTAGGTGATTATATAATGATTCGTCTTGCTCCAAAATGTTTTCTCAAAGATGCTACATGAAATAATTAAAAATTGTACTTGATCCCTTTGGCCCTTACCCATTTTTAAAAAGCTTGAAACTAATACACACACACACACACACTTGATTTGTCAATAAACTTAAATATCAATCCAATTTTCAATGTAGAAAATTTATATACTTCAGCACGTTTGAGCCTCAAATGTTTGCCATCGTATTTTTCAGCAAGTCATGCTTCTAGCCCACTCTAGGCTCCTACTATTATGTTTTCCCCTAAGATATCCTTGATGAAGTACTTGAGGATCAAGTTGCTTCAAAAGTTGGTGATTTTCACAAGTTACTAGTTGGAACTTGGAAAGATATCCCGCTTAGCAATGCTGCCTGGATTAATGAGAATGAATTTCCTAATTGGATGCAAAGCTACTCAATGTCTATTTGGATTATAACTTGTCAAAGTTGAATTCTTTTCAGCCAAGGAGAAATGATGCAATACTAAAAGTATACTTGAGGTTAAAAGGGAATTAAATTAATTAGAGTTTCTTTAATTCTAGTTGGTGTTAGATTAGAATTATTTCCTTGTTTTCTACTTTCATTAGGTTTTCATTACTTTCCTAAATAATCTAGGATTGTTTAGGCCCCTATAAATAGAGGGGTTAACTCTTTGTTTTAATCACACATGATTATTGAATACAATTACACATGATTATTAAATAATCTAGGATTGTTTTAGCCCCTAATTTCTCTTCTTCTCTATTAAGTTTTTTCACTTATTGATTGTGCTTATTCGATTAAGGTATTCCTATGTTACGTAGCCCCTGTTTGTTTCCCATTATTTACCCATTAAAATTAAAAATATGACCGTTATCCAGCACATAAAGTCACCATATTTTGACTTTCTATCTCTTGTGTAAGCCCGTAATGACTATATTTTTCATTCTCATTCTTACATTAATGTGGCTCAAATGGGGCCGTAGTATCTCCTTTTTTATATGATAAATCACACCATCGTAAGAGAGAGATAACATTCCCTACCATTAGTGGCTTTGCAATCTATTAGTTTTGCTGCAACACCTGGGGGCCTCTGCCAGCTTCTGTCTAATCCACCAATCTGTAATACGAAGTGAGTACTGAAAAGAACCAATATGATAAAAACAAGGAGAAACTGGTGCCAGAAAAACCCAAATTTGTTTTCTGTGATAGGTGAGAGTGATGGCATACGGGAATAACTTTGCTTTAACGAAAAATGGGAGAAGTTACAGATTGGTAAACATGCCAAATTCTCCGCAAATGCATCAACTTTGCCAAAAGATTCCAATCTGGTGAAATCAGCACCAAGGCTTGTGATTGCTAAGCTGACTGCAGTGAGTAAGAAACAACTTCAATATCTAGTACAAATACTGCTCAAACAATGCACCCGCTAGAGTTCAAAGTATACCACTTGAATTGGCAGTATTTTGTGGATAGAATGCAATCAGAGATCTTACCCCATCCCCTTCTCCTGTTCCCACTAGCCAATCTGCACATCAAGTACTTGTTATTATCAAACTAAGAAATGTTGGATTGTAAACCTAATTGTACTTTATACTTTTTTACTGTAGGGGTATATAGTAGTATTCCTACTATTTAAAGAATTTACCCCGGCAGCGGGGGGGTTCTTTGGGAGAGAGATACAGACCATGAGGTGTGAGATCACTATTGTAATTTCTTCTTCTTTGTGAGAGTGAAAAGTTTGCAGCTGCGATTAAACGTAACTCTCACATTTATTTAGCGTGGATAACAGAAATATGTGCATTTAGCCGTGTATGCTTTTTATTTCTTGTTGCTTAAAATTGTTCTCGTTTTGCGGATTAGGTCTTGATTCATAACAATAAACTCATCTCTGGTTCTCTAAGCCGAAGAAAACCTATGCCATGTGTCATAAGAATAGTAGTATAACAAAAAGAATCAATGCGCAAATATGTAGAATAGCCCAACTAGTGGCCTTAAGATCAAATAACCACTGACGCTTTCCACATTCTCCGACAAAATAATCCTCCCTAGAACCAAACCTCCGCCTCCACTATTCCCCAAATATCCCTTCTGTGAAAGAACACAAAAAAGAGAGAAAAAAAATTAACAATAAAGGGTGACAAGAAGTAACTAGTGCCAAAAACGAGTGACAAGAAAGTAACTGAAGTTACAGAAGAAGAAATCATAGAGATATTCAGCAAGATATGGCAGAAGGGGACAGTGGCAGAATACCAAAAACTTTTTCAGGACCTTTAATATCATGTTATGCTATCTTTACCTAACCCGTCTGAGTCATATTACATCTCTGCATTCACCAGTGGGTTGAAGGAAGAGATTAGATCCATGGTTAAAATTGGTAGACAGACTTCTACTTCCCAAGCATTTGAGGTAGCCCCCTCTTGCGAGAAAATACTATCACAGCTTTGAACAAGTCCTCAAAAATTCAAATCAAACCCCCTTAACAACCCAAATGGACTAACCTACCTCAAACAACCACTGAAAATACTCCTAAATATCTACCTAACACCAGTACCGAACAAAGAAGAGAGCCCTGGGAGTTCTTCTCTTTACTGCATCTTTTCTTAAGAACTTCTTTGATCAATGGAATGCCTTTATTAGTTTAGTAAAGCTTGTGGGTTGCTATTGCGCTTTCCCTTCCCTTGTGTCATGAGCTTTACGGGCGAGTGACTTTTAACCTAAACCCACCATTAAAATTCAAGACAATCACCTCCACAGACATACATACAGACCAAAAGAAGTTTGGGGTTGTGAGATGTGATGAGAAATGCACTCCAGGCCATGTGAGCAAAAATAGGATGCTGGATTTTATATTAGTGGATGAAGAGGAAGGGTGGAGACTGAGGGTGAAGGGAAATTAACAAAAACCTGTGAGGAAGAAGGGGAAGAAGAGATGATGGAAATCTCCATCAACGCTCTCAGACTCTCCGGGAGTCTGAGACCTAAAACCATTAGGAAACCATGACAGGCGCAGAGGAGAAGGGTGTCTATTCTCATTGACAGTGGTATTACCCATAGCTTTATCGAACAGAAGTTAATATCTGAACTAAAATGCAAAGTAGAACCCACCAAACCTGTGACAGTAACTGTGGCAAGTGGAGATGAGTTGAAAAACACAGCAGTGTGCAATCCACTCACTTGGACCGTGCAGGGAATGGAATGTCAAATCCAGTTGAGGTTGGGTGGAAGTGTTATGGTGCTGGAGGTAGACTGGTTGAGCCAATTCAATCCAGTAATGTTTAAATTCAAGCAGAGCATCATCAGAATTTCATATGAGGGAATGGAAGCGGTACTGAGGAGTGAACACATGAATGAGGAGTTTCTAATGATAGAAGGGGGACAGATGAAAAATGGGTTCACAGACAACCCTATGGAATTGTGGCCAAATTCAAGCAGTGAATGAAGAAGAAAAGGAACCTCCTCCTGGAGACATACAAATTATCATTGATTAATATTCAAAAGTACTCATAGAACCAAGAGGGATGCCACCCCAGGTTTAATGACCATAAGATTCTCTTGAAAGAAGGAGCTCGGCCTTTTAGAATAAGGCCCTCCAAATGCCCATATATAGAGAAAACTGAAATGGAGAGGATGGTGAAAGAGATGTGAGACCGGCATTATTCAACATAGTAATATAGTTCCTATGCCTCATCTGTACTACTAGTCAAAAAGAAGGTTGTGACATGGAGGTTCTGTGTAGAATATAGACAGCTCTTGTGTAAGCCCGTAATGACTATATTTTTCATTCTCATTCTTACATTAATGTGGCTCAAATGGGGCCGTAGTATCTCCTTTTTTATATGATAAATCACACCATCGTAAGAGAGAGATAACATTCCCTACCATTAGTGGCTTTGCAATCTATTAGTTTTGCTGCAACACCTGGGGGCCTCTGCCAGCTTCTGTCTAATCCACCAATCTGTAATACGAAGTGAGTACTGAAAAGAACCAATATGATCTTGTGTAAGCCCGTAATGACTATATTTTTCATTCTCATTCTTACATTAATGTGGCTCAAATGGGGCCGTAGTATCTCCTTTTTTATATGATAAATCACACCATCGTAAGAGAGAGATAACATTCCCTACCATTAGTGGCTTTGCAATCTATTAGTTTTGCTGCAACACCTGGGGGCCTCTGCCAGCTTCTGTCTAATCCACCAATCTGTAATACGAAGTGAGTACTGAAAAGAACCAATATGATAAAAACAAGGAGAAACTGGTGCCAGAAAAACCCAAATTTGTTTTCTGTGATAGGTGAGAGTGATGGCATACGGGAATAACTTTGCTTTAACGAAAAATGGGAGAAGTTACAGATTGGTAAACATGCCAAATTCTCCGCAAATGCATCAACTTTGCCAAAAGATTCCAATCTGGTGAAATCAGCACCAAGGCTTGTGATTGCTAAGCTGACTGCAGTGAGTAAGAAACAACTTCAATATCTAGTACAAATACTGCTCAAACAATGCACCCGCTAGAGTTCAAAGTATACCACTTGAATTGGCAGTATTTTGTGGATAGAATGCAATCAGAGATCTTACCCCATCCCCTTCTCCTGTTCCCACTAGCCAATCTGCACATCAAGTACTTGTTATTATCAAACTAAGAAATGTTGGATTGTAAACCTAATTGTACTTTATACTTTTTTACTGTAGGGGTATATAGGGCGTTCTAGTATTCCTACTATTTAAAGAATTTACCCCGGCCGCGGGGGGGTTCTTTGGGAGAGAGATACAGACCAAGAGGTGTGAGATCACTATTGTAATTTCTTCTTCTTTGTGAGAGTGAAAAGTTTGCAGCTGCGATTAAACGTAACTCTCACATTTATTTAGCGTGGATAACAGAAATATGTGCATTTAGCCGTGTATGCTTTTTATTTCTTGTTGCTTATAGTATTCCTACTATTTAAAGAATTTACCCCGGCAGCGGGGGGGTTCTTTGGGAGAGAGATACAGACCATGAGGTGTGAGATCACTATTGTAATTTCTTCTTCTTTGTGAGAGTGAAAAGTTTGCAGCTGCGACTAAACGTAACTCTCACATTTATTTAGCGTGGATAACAGAAATATGTGCATTTAGCCGTGTATGCTTTTTATTTCTTGTTGCTTAAAATTGTTCTCGTTTTGCGGATTAGGTCTTGATTCATAACAATAAACTCATCTCTGGTTCTCTAAGCCGAAGAAAACCTATGCCATGTGTCATAAGAATAGTAGTATAACAAAAAGAATCAATGCGCAAATATGTAGAATAGCCCAACTAGTGGCCTTAAGATCAAATAACCACTGACGCTTTCCACATTCTCCGACAAAATAATCCTCCCTAGAACCAAACCTCCGCCACCACTATTCCCCAAATATCCCTTCTGTGAAAGAACACAAAAAAGAGAGAAAAAAAATTAACAATAAAGGGTGACAAGAAGTAACTAGTGCCAAAAACGAGTGACAAGAAAGTAACTGAAGCTACAGAAGAAGAAGTCATAGAGATATTCAGCAAGATATGGCAGAAGGGGACAGTGGCAGAATACCAAAAACTTTTTCAGGACCTTTAATATCATGTTATGCTATCTTTACCTAACCCGTCTGAGTCATATTACATCTCTGCATTCACCAGTGGGTTGAAGGAAGAGATTAGATCCATGGTTAAAATTGGTAGACAGACTTCTACTTCCCAAGCATTTGAGGTAGCCCCCTCTTGCGAGAAAATACTATCACAGCTTTGAACAAGTCCTCAAAAATTCAAATCAAACCCCCTTAACAACCCAAATGGACTAACCTACCTCAAACAACCACTGAAAATACTCCTAAATATCTACCTAGAACAAAGAAGAGAGCCCTGGGAGTTCTTCTCTTTACTGCATCTTTTCTTAAGAACTTCTTTGATCAATGGAATGCCTTTATTAGTTTAGTAAAGCTTGTGGGTTGCTATTGCGCTTTCCCTTCCCTTGTGTCATGAGCTTTACGGGCGAGTGACTTTTAACCTAAACCCACCATTAAAATTCAAGACAATCACCTCCACAGACATACATACAGACCAAAAGAAGTTTGGGGTTGTGAGATGTGATGAGAAATGCACTCCAGGCCATGTGAGCAAAAATAGGATGCTGGATTTTATATTAGTGGATGAAGAGGAAGGGTGGAGACTGAGGGTGAAGGGAAATTAACAAAAACCTGTGAGGAAGAAGGGGAAGAAGAGATGATGGAAATCTCCATCAACGCTCTCAGACTCTCCGGGAGTCTGAGACCTAAAACCATTAGGAAACCATGACAGGCGCAGAGGAGAAGGGTGTCTATTCTCATTGACAGTGGTATTACCCATAGCTTTATCGATCAGAAGTTAATATCTGAACTAAAATGCAAAGTAGAACCCACCAAACCTGTGACAGTAACTGTGGCAAGTGGAGATGAGTTGAAAAACACAGCAGTGTGCAATCCACTCACTTGGACCGTGCAGGGAATGGAATGTCAAATCCAGTTGAGGTTGGGTGGAAGTGTTATGGTGCTGGAGGTAGACTGGTTGAGCCAATTCAATCCAGTAATGTTTAAATTCAAGCAGAGCATCATCAGAATTTCATATGAGGGAATGGAAGCGGTACTGAGGAGTGAACACATGAATGAGGAGTTTCTAATGATAGAAGGGGGACAGATGAAAAATGGGTTCACAGACAACCCTATGGAATTGTGGCCAAATTCAAGCAGTGAATGAAGAAGAAAAGGAACCTCCTCCTGGAGACATACAAATTATCATTGATTAATATTCAAAAGTACTCATAGAACCAAGAGGGATGCCACCCCAGGTTTAATGACCATAAGATTCTCTTGAAAGAAGGAGCTCGGCCTTTTAGAATATGGCCCTCCAAATGCCCATATATAGAGAAAACTGAAATGGAGAGGATGGTGAAAGAGATGTGAGACCGGCATTATTCAACATAGTAATATAGTTCCTATGCCTCATCTGTACTACTAGTCAAAAAGAAGGTTGTGACATGGAGGTTCTGTGTAGAATATAGACAGTTAAACAGCCTCAACATCAAAGATAAATACCTCATGCCATTGATTGATGAGTTGATTGATCAGCTCCATGGGTCAAGGCTGGGTATCATCAAATCAGGGTAGCTGAAGCTGATGTACATAAGACACACCATGGTCTATATGAATTCAAGGTAATGCCCTTTGAGCTCACCAATGCCCTAGCCACCTTCAAACGTTGGATGAATGAAGTTTTTAAAGAACATTTGAGGAAGTTTATTAGTTTTTTTGTATGACATTTTGGCGTATAGCCCTCATCTGGAATCCTTTTGTAATCACCTATACATTGTGCTTGATTACAGTAATAAAAACTATATGCTAAGTGGGCTAAATGTTCTTTTGGGCAATCTAAGGTGGAATGTTTGGGTCATAACATATTAGCAGGAGGAGTATCCATAGATCCAATGAAAGTAAGTGCTATGCAATAGTAGCCTAGGCCTCATAATGTTAAACAATTAAGGTGATTTCTAGGTCTGACAGGGTGCTTTAGAAAGTTAGTGAAAGTTATGGGGTCCTTGCTAAACCCCTGACTGATCTTCTAAAAAAGGACTATTTCAGGTGGGACAAGGCTGCAAAGATGGCATTTTCAGAAATTGAAGACAGCAATGTGCAGCACCCCAGTATTGGCACAAACCTTTCATTATTGAGATTGATAATTGTCATGGAGGTATGGGAGCAATTTTAATGGAAGGCAAAAGACCAATTGCATACCTCGGCAAGAGTATCCACAATGATAAACTGGGGATGTCCATTTATGAGAAAGGGTTGCTAGCTCTAGTCACTGTAGTGGGAAAATGGAGGCATTACTTGGAAGGACATCACTTAATCATTAAAATAGACAATCAATCCTTGAAGTACCTGTTAGAGCAAACAATAACTACACCACTCCAACAAAAGTGGTTAACCAAACTACTTGGGGCTCAGTTATGAGATAAAATATAAGAAAGGGGTAGACAACATTGTAGCGGATACACTATCAAGTAGGAAGGAATCAAATTTAGAAGTCGCAGCAATTTCCGGTGTGATACCTACTTGGATACAAGAAGTGATATAGAGCTACAAGGGATATGAGATAGCTAAACAACATATTGAGGCACTTTTGATAAACCCAGGGGAAGAGTCTGACTACACATAAAAATGGGCTGCTCAAGTATAAAGGGAAACTGTATGTGGGGTCAGAAGGTCAGGTAAGAGCAAACTGTCAGAGAATATTTACTCATCTCAAAATTATGGAGGCCACTCAGGCATCCAAAGCTAGAGTATATTGAGCTAAGCAACATTTCTTTTGCCTGCAATTACGAAGGAAATAAAAAAGGAAGTGCTTCGTTGTGACACATGCCAAAGGTGCAAAGGAAAACATGTTCCCTATCCTGGACAGCTGCAAACACTTCCTGAGACACAATATTCATGGAGCCATATATCCATGGATTCATTGAAAGGTTACCCTCTTCAAAAGGGAAGACTGTGATACTGGTGGTGGTAAATATGTTCACCAAATATGGGCACCTCATGGCTCTGTCACACCCATTTTCTGCAGTTATTGTGGCCAAACCTTTCCCGGAGTATAGTAACAGACAGACAGGGAAAAGGTTTTCACCAATGGATTTTGGCAGGAATTGTTCATATTAATGGCACTAAACTTCATTTAAACTCTACATACCACCCACAAACAGATGGGCAAACTGAAAGGCTCAATCAATGCTTGGAGATGTATCTTAGGTGCAGGACATTTCATCAGCCTAGGCAATGGGTCAGTTGGTTATCCTTGGGTGAATGGTGGTACAATACCACTTATCATGCAGCAATTAAAATGAGCCCTTTTGAAGCCTTATATGGCATTAAACCACCACAATTGGCATTGGGACCTTATCAGCAAACTAATGTGGCTGAAATAGAGTAGCTTGTACAAGAGAGACATCAAATGGATCTGCTGCTTAGGAACATTTGGCTCAAGCCATAGCAAGGATGAAATTTTATGCTGATCAACACAAAATATAAAAGGAATTTCAAGTGGGAGATTGGGTGTATTTGAAGCTACAACCTTTCAAACAACAATCAGTTATAACAAAGATCAATCAAAAATTAGCTGCCAAGTACTATGGCCCTTATGAGATCACCAGAAGAACTGGACGGTGGCCTATGAACTGAATTTGCCCACTACTTCTAAGATACATCCTGTATTCCATGTGTTACTGCTTAAGAAAAAAAATAGGAGATCAGGAGGTAGATTCCAGAAGGTGGAGAACAAGAAAAGAATCACAGAGAACCACTTGCAGTTTTGCAGACCCGGATTATCAAGAAGGATAACCAATCTGTGACTCAATGGCTAATTCAATGGAAGGTACTATCAGGGATGAAGCCACTTGGGAAGATGCAACCTCAATTCAAGAGAGGCATCCTTAATTTCAACCTTGGGGATAAGATCAATTTGAGGAGGAATGTAATGATAAGAGACAAGGTATAACAGCAGAATGGGGGAGGAAGAGAAACAGAAGCAAACGGATTTAACGGCAATCAATATTGAGGAGATCCAAAACGGCCCCATTTTACTTCTTATTTTAAATTGCATATGTGTAATCACACTTTATAAAATGAAACACGTTTTTTCCACCGTTTTAACAGCCGGAGGGAGGAAAGGGGAAATCAGTTGGGTAATTGTCAGAATTTCCTTATTCCCTGCTTTTCTCTGATTTTTATGAATCTCTCCCTCCTCTCTTCTCATTACATTTTCATTGCATTTTATTTCCTTGAATCTGTTTAATTTCAATTCCATTAATAAAATTCAAGATGGTTTATTGAATTCCAACTAAGTATATTGAATTGTGTGTTGATTTTCAGTGGAATTTAGCTGGTTTTGGTTGAAGTTCAGCTCAACCACTATACATGGCCAAAACCAAGGATTATAGAACTCACCTTGAGGAATCGTGATCTTAAACTTGTTCGCTTCATCAGTATATACACGAAAATCTTCCATAACTTCTATACCTCAAGAAAAATCAATACATTTTAGGCCATGAAAATAATATTAGTACACAGAATTGATAACTATAAAAACAGTAGATTGAGTTAGGTAAAGCAAAAAAATAGCGAACCGTTGTCAGCCAATGCAACTGAAGTTAATGCAGGAAAAGCAATTACAGAAGAGACTGCCTGAAACAGTAGCTCTCTCCTTTTCGTCCCAAATTCTTTTCCAACGCACACACTATAAGCATTCAAGAAACAAAAGGGAGTTATTCTGAGAAGAAATTTGTTAATTGAAGAAATGGAAGAATTACCTCGGTGGGTTCTTGGTATCACTTTCATTGTTCTTGAAGCAGGCAATGTTGAAAATCCTGCTTCTCCTGAGGCCTTCAAAAACCAAAGCAAAATTTTCAGAGTAATTTATGGGTTTTAACAAAAAATAGTATGAAAAAGTGGTGCATTCAATTCGAAGGGGGCTGACTTGGGTGATGAAGAAAGGAATGGAAATGCAAAGAAGAAACAGGGGCCATTTCTCGTTTTTGTCTGCTTTGCTTTCTTGATTTTGCTTGCCAGTCGGGAGATTGAGGAATTTTGTATGCCACAATTTGCTGCTCTGCTGGATAATTACAGAAATATTTTCTCTTTGGCACTCTCTTTTCTAATATTTAATTTTGCTTCTCATCCCCCAAGTTTATATTTCATAAAACATTCCCCGCAAAACAACATATATAGTTTCTTATTGCATTATTTTTAAAATACCTTCCTTTCTTGTTATTTCATAAAATAATTTAAATTAGATGAGATCATTAATTTTAGTTAAAGATATGCTATCATCAATATTATTAAGATATTTAATAATTATAATTTTATAAAGGTTTTCTTAAACTAAATTTATAAACTTAAAACCAACAATAACATAGCAAGCACGATAGTCAATTAATCAAATATTAAGCACATTCATAAATAGAAAATGTTTGTTTCTTTCTCTCTTTTTCAGAGATTATAATTTCTTCAACATAACTTTCAAACAGCAAAATCATTCCAATCACAACAAACATCCATGCGGAAATGGTTGGTCCATCCAATATTCTCATTTTCCTTTCTTGCCAATATGCAGTAGTCGTAGCATACTTTCTTGGGGACTCATCACTGGAATGTAGCCCAGTTCCTCCTTTGCTTTTAAGAAAGAAAAGTAACGGGTCATGCAAACATGCCAAAATGCTGTTTCTCATCACGCCACTCGTTGATGCAAATCTTGGAGGTTGGGTCGTTTAGCATTGAATATGAATAAGCACTTCTTTCATTCCAAGTGGCATAAATTGTTTGATGATTTTCCAAATCCAAGCAACAAAAGATCGAAAAGAACAAGCCTTATTGATATGCAATAACTATTGGATTTTTGGAGTAATTTTGTGAAGAGTGATGCCAAAATAAGTATAATGATGGTTTGTAAATCCGTGTCGAAAATTGGACAGAGTAACGGCAAAAAAAACACAAACAAGAAGAAGAAGAAAGTAGGGACAAAGCCGAGGCAAGAGTTGGACTTTTTGTCCTTAAGTCGAATTTGCCCCGCGTTTCTTTCTTTCTTTTTCAGAGATTATAATTTCTTCAGCATAATTTTCAGACAGCAAAATCTTTCCAATCACAACAAACAGCCATGTCTATATGGTTGGTCCATCCAACATTCTCCTTTTCCTTTCTTGCCAATATGCAGTAGTTGCAGCCATACTTTCTTGGGGACTCATTACTGTAATGTAGCCCAATTCCTCCTTTGCTTTTAAGAAAGAAAAGTAACGGGTCATTTCAACATGCCAAAATACAACTTTATCATAGCTGGTTCTCATCACACCACTCGTTGATGAAAATCTTGGAGGCTGGGTCGTCTAGCATTGAATATGAATAAGCACTTCTTTCATTCCAAGTGGCATAAATTGTTTGATGATTTTCCAAATCCAAGCAACAAAAGACCAAAAAGAACAAGCCTTAATGATATTCAATAACGTAGAATGGAACTCCTGATCTTGCAACCTATTGAAGTTACAAAAGAGCAAGCTTAATTCCTTGTAAATTTGAGGGAACAATCATCGAATAGAGACGGATCCAAGATTGGATCCAAAATCGGGTTACAAAATTTCAACCTGGGTTACTACGCGAAAAAAAAACACATAAAAAACTGATTTTTTACCATAAAAAATAAAAAAATCTTAAAAAAAAACTCTTGGACCTGAGTATGGGGGGCTACAACCCAACCCAGCCTCTGCGAATAATAGGAAGATCAGTAAATAATAATTGATAAATGTGGTTAACTGAAATCTAGGCTGTAGTATGTGATAGTCATCATCTTTAAACAAAAGAAAAATGATATAGAGTATCTGTCTAAAATCTGTTGCTAGTCTCAAAAATATATGAGGGTGTTTGTTTTTCATTAAAAAAATGTGTTTTGTTCACTAAATTTCTTATTTTTTGGGTGATTGATTGATATTTTTTCTATAAAAATATTTTCAAAAGTTGGCCATGTAACCATGTTTTCCTTAAAAACAAGAAAAATATTTATTTTATCGGTAGGGTGGAAGGGTATGTTTTTATTTTCTAGTCAATTTACAAGAAAAATGCATTTAATTGAGAATTTCCGCGTCAATTGCCTAGAACTTATTATTTTTTATGCAAGTTCCATACTAGCAATCAAATACACCCTAAATGTACACAAATTGCATGTTGTCAATAAAAATAACATGTCCATTCCCATAAACTCTATTAGAGTTTCATCTCCATCCCGTATAATAGAAAAGACAACACGACTTCATCAGATGAGGATTGAAGATATAAAACTATACGTGATAAGCCGAAGTAAAATGAGAGGGCATAATCATGCATAACTTCACGTGGTGCTTCTATGGTTGATTTATTTCCAAGAGAGGACGGTAAACAAGATCGCTTTATATTTGTTGTAGTTTAAACCAAATTCTAGTCGATATTGGAGTTTTGGTTAAGGTGATCTTGAAGAGATAAAATTATGGACTAAGAAGAAAAGTTATTACAATTTCGCCCGCCTGACACTCGAGCATCAGACTACCGCTCACCTAGCGCTAGAACGACGTAGTTATCCAATTTCGCATTTTAACGAATTTTCTAAACTCCTATTCATCTACAACTCGGATTTTAGGGTTCATATACATTCTCCACGACTTGTATTGAGGTCACAACTCTCATACAATATCTTGAAAGCTTTAGATCTTAATTGAGAGTATTAAGATCTTGTTGTAAACACATTCATTATTGATTATAGTGAAATTCTCCTCCTCTATATGTGGTTTTTCCCTATCCTAAATTTCCACATAAATTTTGGTGTTCTTATATTTTTTTTATTTATTTCATTGTTGCCATGATCTTGCAATCGATTCACAACAAACAAGCATCAGAGCAAGCTTGATATTCCACATGACAACAACGAATACGATAGTTTGATATTGGATCGCAACACGAGATTTATTATATGGCAGGAGAAGATGCAAGCGATTTTCCCGCAAATGGATTTGGAAAAAGCCTTGTTAGGCTTTGATAAGATACCTTAAACGTAGACACAAGATGAAAAGTAACTTAGGGATCAAAAAGTCCAATCACAAATTCATTTACATCTATCAAATTAAATTCTTTAGGACGTTCTAAAGGAGAAAAGTGATATTGCGATGTAGTTAAAATTAGAGCTATTTTGTGTGATAAATAGCTTGAACGGTAAGTTACATATGAAGCAGCGCTTGTATTTTAACCAAATTTTCTAAGATATGTCATTGGATGATCACTTAATTATGTTCAAACAAATCATGATTGATTTAGAGACATTGAAAATTAAATATGATGAGAAGGACTTGACGTTGATATTATTACATTCGTTGCCACCATCATATGTTACTTTCAAAGATATTATACTATATAATCGTGATACTATCACCGTAATGAGGTCTATAATGATTTACTGTCAAATGAGAAGATTATGCATCTTGCAAGTGAATTTGGAGTTAGGCTGAAGTCCTGTTTGTTCATTGTTCCTCATATTTCTACCAAGAAATATGAGGGACAGATTGAAATCCAGACGTGCAAAGAAAATATCACTTTTGTAATATGAAGAGGTATATTAGAGATGATTGCTATGCTTTGAAAAATAGAAACAACGTTGCTAGTGCTACTAATAAAAGAAAGCAACCTATAAACATAAAAGTTGATGTTATCGAAGTTGGCAAAGTGAGGGAGAGCTTCTTGTAATTTCTGACATGGGTTTCAAACCTTATGAGGTACTTTTCATATGTATTTCAACAAGGACCAGCTTACAACATATGAAAGAGTTTCAAGAGATGCAGTGATCATAGAAAAGAACACACTTTGCAAAATTATCGAAGTTGGTACAGTCAGGATCGAAATGGTCAATAAGGCTATTAGAATACTTATAGATGTAAGGCACGTTCCAAAATTAAAGTGAAATCTCAGATCTTTGAGTACACTTAACTCAAAGGGTTATAGATACACTGGTAAAGGTGGAATTTTGAAGATGAATCGGGATACTCTTGTTCTCATAAAGAGACATAAAAACTCTACACAGTTATATATTTTGCGAGGTTCCATAGGTATAGGAGATGCAATAATTTCCCCTTCTTTTTTGATAGATGAGAGATTACAGAACTTTAGTATATATAGCTCTGGCATATGAGTGGAAATGATATAGTAGAGTGAGTAGAATGGGACTTCTTGATAGGCAGAAGACCAATAAGATGAAGTTCTGTGAGCACTGTGTCTTTGAAAAGCAGAAAAAGTAAATTCACCAAAAGAAAATACAACATGAAGGAAGCACTTAAATATATCTATTCAGATCTTTGGAGATCTGTAAGAGTGCCTACTAAAGGAGGTCTTTATTACTTGTTGATAGTAATTGATGATTTTTTCAAGAAAGTTTGGGTATTATTTTTAAATAGAGGAGCGATATGTTTAGAACCTTCAAGAAGTGGACGATAATGATAGAAAGTAGAGAAAAAAGTAGGTGAAACGTCTACGAACAGATAATGGGTTAGAGTTTTATTTAGATGAATTCAATAGCTTTTGCAGGGTTTAAAGTATCATGAGACTTGACACTGCCTGGAACTCCGTAATAGAACAATGTGGCAGAATGGATTAATAGAACCTTGATAGAAAAGGTTCGTTGTATGTTTTCAAATTCTGGGTTGCCTAAGACTTTTAGGTTGAGGCTGCTATTACACTTTGTTTTCTATTAATCATTCATTCTCAGTTGTCATTGAGGAAAAAAACACTAGAAGAAGTATGGTTTGGTAAACCTTCTTGTTATTTAGATTTGAAATTTTTTGGGTTCCTACTTATGCTCATGTGAATATTGGAAAATTGGAGTCTAAATCTAAAAAGTGCACCTTTCTTAGGTATAAATCAGGCATGTAAGGCTATAAGTTGTGGTGTCCCGAGATAGGGAAGGTGGTGGTTAGTAGAGATATAGTATTTGATGAACTTGCTATTGTTCATGGTATGGCTCATAGGGATTTTGATAAAATTGAGAAACAAAATTATTCAACTCAAATGAAGTTGAAAATTGGCTTAGGACAACAATCTGAAGCTTCAAAACAATCTAGTCCAGAGTTGATAGACAATAACACTTTGCC